AGACAGTGAATCAGCTAATAATCTACCATCTCTCAACAGATATGCAGAAGAAAATGGGAAATACGCATGAATTTCTTTGAGGCCCATGGAAAATCCGATAATTATTTGATATTATTATTTGTACTACTCACAAGTAGCTAATATTAATTTAATGAAAACAAAAACAGTAGTTCAGCGAAGACTTTTTTTGGCTAATTCACTCACTTAGCTGTACAGTTGCAATTATATATACTTATTTTCTGTATGTGTGTGTGTCCATTAGGTTTGTCTAGTAAGAATAAAAGTAAGTTGTCAAGACATTTCAAAGAATGTGATGAGTAATCAAACTGTATCTAGTGGGGGGGGGGAGGGTGAAGATTGGTAAGAGGGTAATGTTGATGTGTTGTCAAAAAACATATTTTCTAACGCATAAAAGAAGTTGATTAGGCGTGATAAGGTTACGTAATAGGATGAATAGTCTAATGAGTGAGTTGTGATTGAGATGTACATAGAAACAAAGGATAATATGGAATTATGTAAGAGTTCTATAACGTAAAATAGCCATAAGGTGTTAGAAAAAAGCAAGCACACAATCTTCAAGTCAATAGCAGTCAACACGATTGTTACCAAGATAGTAAAAGTGGTTGGATATAACTCTGGCTGATTAATAAACTCTTGGAGAAATCTAAAAGCTCACTTCAACTGATTGAAGTATGCGCTGAAAATGTCACCTAGTAGGGTGATGAAAGCTTCACAAATTAACCATCCAGCTCAGAGAACAAAACCACATCAAAAACACTGGTCAGGTTTTTGACCCGTATGGTAGAGCTGACTGACTTAACATTGGTGTTGAAAATGCGAATGTTTTTGTAGATATTAACTGAGTGCAGAAGATTTCCAAACTGGTTACAGGTTGACAAAGGCGTATCTTACCTTTCCGATTCTAGTTGGCTTTAACATCATCATCAAAGTGGGACCCTAAATGGGGAGCAATAAATCGGACAGAAGAAGATTATGTGAATAAAGATCTACAAACAGTTATGGAACCAGCGGAAAATAATGGCGAAGAAATAGTCACAATCAAGATATACACTTGACGCTTTTTCTTCCGATTGAAACACAAAGAATAAATTCTCGTGATAATAGTTTTGAAGATTATTATTATTATATTATTGTTTCCTTTATTTCACAAAGGAACATAGGGCTTTAACCACACGTCTCCATTGCATGCGTCTCTGTTCTCTGACAACGTTTCCACGTAGCTCCACGTCTGCTCATATGCTTTCATCTCCTCTTCACATGACCTCCTCCAGCTCATGTCACTTCATCTTCACATTGACGACCAACTCCCCGCTTCTTGTTCAGGTTCCACTTGCGCGATGGTCTGGCGTGTGGTGTCACTCACTTGATGGTTTGATTTCTCAGAATATGGTCAATCCAATCCACCTCCATTTCTTCCCGCATATTTTTCGCACAATCGGTTCCTTCTGGGTAAGTTGGTTCGCTCCCAGAGATCTCTGTTGCTGATGTTTTTTGACCGGCCATCTGATCTTGAGTAGTATTGAGCGAAGACAACTGTTAATGAAGGTCTGTAGTTTCTTTGAGGTGCTCTTTATGACACGCTGGCCAAGTCTCTGAACCGTATAGTGAGTAGCACTGACTTCAGATTGGAGTTGAAAATCCGGATCTTATTTTCATTTTCATGCTGAGTGCTGTTGAGCTGTACAGAGACTTGAGAGAAATGAAAGCTTGACTTGCTTTCCCGATTCTCGCTTTGATATCCTCATCAGTTCCCTCTACGTGTGGTTGAAGCGATACTCCCGAGGTAGGTAGGTAGATAGACAGTTAAAGGAGGTTGCTTCTTTCCAATTTCTCCCATTTATGCTGGCTGATTGTTGCCTGTTGTCTGTTGTCGTTGCTGTTCCCGTGGGCCAGTAATCTTCATCTCCTCTGTCTTCTCTATAATCATCTGAAGGCTTTGGTGCTTCTTCTATCGCCAACATGTTGGTTTTCACTTGCATATCTTCCAGTTTGAATGAAATCAGACATATCAACATGGGTAATGTTCAGATCCTCCAAGTTTGTTTTGTCTGGGTCCAATTTTATGTCTGAGATCGTACTTCTAGGGATCAGTTTTGAAGAATGACTCCTAAATTATAAAGTATTCAGTGAGGGATTTTAATTATCTTGACTGAAATGAATTTCATTCAATATCAGTTTTGTGGAAACCTCTTAAAAGTTTTGAACTCAACTAGTTTATAATAGTTCTCTAAATAATAATAATAATAATAATAATAATAATAATAATAATAATAATAATAATAATAATGTAATAATAGTAATAGGATGAGTTCTTGACAAAACAAAACTTTAATTCACTCTTGAGTTTACCATATTTATTTATTTTATTTATTTTTGATTACAGCTTGATTCCACACTGTATTTTTGGTACAATTATGGAATTTTCAGCATGGATATCGGTAGCCCAAATTTCGCAGGCCGACCATTGATATCAGGTGTGCGTCGGCGAGGGCTCGAACCCCGGACCATGTGCATGGTCGACGAGAGTCCTAACCACTGTGCCGCTGACGCGCATGAAATTTTGTAGGAAAATAATGACCATTGATGAAAGTAGAAGAACTAAAGTTTGAAGTGTTGGTATGCAGGGATTCGAATGGTTGCAAGTTTACTCGTGAGCTGATATCATTCAGCGAAACATTGGGAAGCTTGAGAATACTGAATAGTTGTTTCATCCTAATTCGAAACTTTTCGGCAGTACGCACTCACCTGTGTTCGAATCCAGGAGATTTCGGTTACAGATTCAGATTTGTTGTTTGAGGATAGAATGTCTGAAGCCTATATTAGTCCAAACTGTTTTTGAGTGAGTCAGTTGAGGGCGCCGACACCATTTCTTCTGGGATTCGGTTCCAGGAGTTGATAATTCGATGTGAGAATCAATAGTCCATAGCAATATTGTTTCTTTGCGGCTTTTGAACTCTCCTGCTATTTCCTCCAAGGTGTTCTGACCTGGTGGGAAGGAAAAGAGAGAATAGATCAGGTCCATAGTCATTATGTAAAATTCTAAACATTGTAATTAGATCTCCTTTCTGCCTACGGTATGGTGGGGGAGAAGAGATTTAAACTACCTAATCTTCCTCGCATAAAAAATTAGTCATTCCAGGAATCATACATGTTTCCTTCTTTTGAACCCTTTCTAGAATATGTGAGTCCCGTTTACGATAAAGACTTGAAGCCTGAATACAATTTTCCAGTTTTGACCTCAACAGAGATGTCTATAAGGAGGTGAATATGTCTCTGCGAATCTCCGATAAAGGTATGAAACTATGTGCTGTCACTACAGGATAATGTTCTTTAGTTTTTAAATCGTGACTTAGTATGAAACTTAAATCCAAATGAGTTTGAACTGACAGGAGTTTTATTCCCCGTAGTTCGTAGGAGTTGATATTTGCTTGTCCAATGCTCGTGGTTGTGCATTTTGCTACATTTATCGGGAGTATCCATTCTATGGACCACTCTGACAATTTGTTGAGGTCTCCTTGTTACGTGAGCGCTTCATTGTCGCCTGTCAGCTCCCTCCAAATTTTTAACTCATTTGTATTTATGACGATTGGGGAATTGGTGGGCATAGATGACTCTTTGATATTGAAAATAAGTAAGAGTCACAAAGTACTGTACCTGGGTGAGCTCGCAGACCCTTCACACACTGGGACTCGATCCAGTGTTGGCAAAGTTAAACTTTAGACACCACTAACAACCAATCAGCAGACGACCTCGAACGGACCAATCACATTAAAGAGGCATATATGATGAATAGAAACGTATATTTATAGAATAAAAGCATAAAATAGATAATAAAAAAGGTTACATGGGATATCTTTCTGGAACATGTGAGAGAAAATTCTCCCAGTTTAGGATGGGACTGTCAATGGAGAAGTTACACCATATCCTCTACATATATTCATCCAAATGACTATAAATCAGATCCTTTTGAGATACATTTATAGCCATTATCCTACTTTCCAACCTGTCCCAAAATCCTTCATTAGAATTTGTATGTGTCCTCGTAACTGGATCCACAAAATCACTTGAATGGTTGTCTCTATGATGAATATATCCCGGAGATGACAGCGAATTGTAGCCTTTCCACTCGTCCGTGTGTATAATTGACCCCCGCTTAACAATTCTCGTAACAATAGGTATAAGAGTAGTTGCTTTTCTATCTGCTATCCTTAGGGAGAGAAGCGACCTAGCGAAAAAAGTTCCTACGAAATAATAAAATTATCAGCATACCCTCTCTAGTGTTAGTAGGCTTCAAACATATAGCACAACGATGAACAAACCCATCAGTTGATTTGGTATAGCTTTTTAAAGTCATGATACCACCACACAATCAAATTCGTTCTTTCCGGAGCAACTCAAATCTAGGAAATACTGGAAAATACTAACCTCCTCGAATTGCAACAATAGCCTTGTAAGGTCACGCATTAGAAATGAATCAAGCGCTATACAACATTGAACTGCGTTCGTGAACCTCATTGGATAATTCGACATCGTTGGTGAATCTCATTGGATAATTCGCTGATTGGTGGTAGTTAGTGGTGTCGAAAGTTTAACTTCGCCCCAGTGTTCCATAAATCCGAACTCTTGCCAATTCGTACAAACTCATTGGTGGCCAAATAGTCTATCAGCTCACCTTGTGAACGAAATGACCTTGGTTCAAAATCCTATCGGTGTCTACTGCCGAAGAGTTTCAAGCTAGGATGAAACAGCTGTCCACTACCCTATGGTCTTTAATACTTCGCTTTAACTGATATCAATTGGTGATGAAAGCCACAAATAAGAATTCTACTTTATTGGTTAATAAATAAGTGCTAATAGTAATTATTTCCAGTTGGATTGAAACATTTTAATTGTTTTTGTGTGTATAGTGTGTCTGTGTGCGTTGGTGTATTTGTGTGTGTGTGTGTGTATATGTGTGTTGTACACTCGTCTGCTAATATCATTTGTACTTCCATTGTAATAGTATAGTGCACACATATGTGCACTCCACCTGGATTGGACCATCAGAAGTCACTCACTCACTCACACACACTCCGTCAGTCGGATAAACTTTATACTTTATAAGTTTTCAGAAGCACACACAAGCATCGATACACAGACACAAATTAACAACAACAACACCCGTCTTGGTTCTATTTTGAAACCGATCTGATTAACAAAACTACGAGAGGGTGTTTGTATGTGTGTGCGTGTGTGCGTATCTGTGTGCAACTGGAAAACTGAAGAAGTCCATTGTTATTATTATTATTATTATCACTATTACTATTGTAAAGAAACACCAAGTTTAGTCTTCTTTATCCCCTTTGTGTGTATATATTGATGAAATATTAGTGATATGTGAAATGTATCTAGTTTGTGATTGCCGATTTCAATAGAAATTTAATTTGTATACACCATGAACTACTAGTGAGACGACTAATATTTTCGTTTGTTTACATATACACTGAATCAATTTTGATCAGAAACGTTATTATTATTTTTTCTATTAAAAGTGTGATAATATTTTCTACATTTTCTCTGTATTAAAATAAAAAAATGTCAATCAGAGCTATCATCACTAACATCATCCTGACCATCATTATCAGTGGCGGTATTTTGTTGCTATTGTCAACAACAACAACAACAACTGCTTATACACTTGTACATTCAAACAACAATGACAAATATGGCCGTGGAGGCGGACAATTCAATTCAGAAATGTGTAACAATTGGACAGTGAATACACTATCTTATAGTTTAAATATTCCCTTGTCAAATTATTCAAATATTTATCAGTATATACCAAAAATTAGTATTATTATAATTTCACATAATGAAAATACAGCAATTTTAAAAAATACATTAGAAAGTATATTGAATAGTACTACTAATTTAATATTAAATAGTAATATAAAGGAGATTATATTGATTGATGATTATAGTGATCCTCCAATCGATGATTATATTGCCGCTATGAGTAAAATGGTGAGTTCACTTTTTGGTTTTTTCATGTATGATTGATATTCAATGTTCAATTGTCATTTATGCAATAAGAATGAAATTTGTGATTTTTAAATTACACAGTTCAAAATGATTTTCTTAGAAATCGTGAAATGTCTACATCACGAAGCATGATTTGATTGGTACCATAAATGGTACTCAAAAAAGTTAGAAACAGCATGATAGTAAACTCTACTTGTGGCTCTTGTAGGTCAGTAGTTTAGTGAATAACTCTCTGGTATTTGAGACGATAGGTACAGGGTTTCATTCTCGGTGATGACGAAGACAGAGGGTGTGCGGGGTGGGGGAATACAATCCCTCATGAAGGTAAAGATATATCTTGCTGACGAGTCGAAAATTCGAAGCAATTCCACTACAAGTCAGTTTTAAGCAACTAATCTTATTCGACTAGTTGCCAAGATCTATTCTGAGCTAAATTCATGAGTTGTTGTGCTAAACCTGACTTTTCATTAACAAATTTTCTAAAGTTGGTTTGTTAGGATTAGATTTGTTTGGAAGAGTTAATCACGGATTGATATCAGTTAGAGAACCGTTGAAAACTAGCAGGGAGTACTACCAGACAGCTGTTTCGTCCTGGTTTCGAACTCATCGGCAGTACGCACCCACCAATAAGGTTCGAACCCAGGAACTACCGGTTACAAGGTAATCTTGTATACCTTCCTAACTTCTATCAGTTCGTGATTTAGCACTACTGGCACTAACCAAATGTCGTCGGTGGGACATCCATCCTCATACTTGACTACATGGACCTCACTGGTCACAACTTCCCACTAGAACACCAGGAAACTCCGTACTGTAGCAAGTCACTAGCGAGCATCATGTTAGTTTTGTTTTTACCAGTGGATCACGGTTTTCAATGGTTCTCTAACTGATGTCAATCCGTGGTCTACTCGTAAAAACTAACAAATTTAACTGAAACCTTACCAGTTATCTCGTTTTCACCGAGTGCTAACCAAATCTAAGTCGCCTAACTTATCGGCACTGATTAATCTTACGATATTCCCATAATCTTAACTAAAGTGTAACAGAAGAAGGCGAGAAATTTCTGGTATTGTCATATAGAAAAATTATGGTCACCTCATCTTCAAATCACCATTTGCACAAATCTTCCGTGTTGTGCTACTTCTGGCCATCACATTATGCTTCTTTGTTTTCTTTTCACGCCTCCCATTTACCTTCACAAAGCTGTGTCATTTACTTTCTCTAACATCAAACCTATCTCCCTCCTATTTAATATTTTTTTATGCCGATGAACATCTCACTATATACTACTGATAAATCTTATCAGTATCACACGACACAGAATCAATGTCAATAGTACACTCTGTGAAGAGAGTTAGTTGATGAAAGAGGTTTCCATTGATTTTGACGAAGTAATTAATTTTTACCGGATGTTTCTAAACAATTTTTACAGTTTTATTTTGATCAAAAATATTTGTGTGAGTCGGTGGCACAGTGGTTAGGGCTCTCGCCGATCATGCACATGGTCTGAGGTTCGATCCCCGCCGACGCACACCTTATATCTATGATCGGCCTGCATAATTTGGTCTACCGATATTCATGCTGAAAATTACATACTTGTACAAAAAATACGGTGTGGAATCAAGCTATAATCAAAAATAAAAAAAATTAATAAAATAAATAAATATTTAAAAAGTAATCCCAACATCATTATGGATAAAATTTTATTTTGATAAATCACACTGTTATATAGTAATATTAACTGATGGCGTTTCGACCACAAACTGTTGCTCAGTTAATTTAACTGTATAACACTGTGTGATTCATCAAAATAAAATCTTATGCATAATAGAGTTATACTCTACCACCACAGTGCCCGAGTTTTATTTATACTTATATCAGTAATTCCAACATGTTTAGAAAATTAAAACAATTTTTTTTGAATGTTTCACCATGAAAATCGAAGCTTCTTCGGTAGAATTAATCTGATTTTATGAAATGTATAGTCAAGCAGTATATGGTGTGTCGGTGGCGCAACGGTTAGGACGCTTGCTGACCATGCACATGGTTCGGGGTTCGATCCACGGCCACCGACGCACTCCTCCTCTACCTCGCTAAGGCAGTAATAAGACAGGTAAAGAGGAAAGGTTGAACATGAGACTGGCAACCCCATCCTGTAAAAATAATCCCCACTGCTACCAAAACATCAAGCCTCTAGCTTGAAGCCACCCTATGTCCCAGTGGGAACCTGAAGGAATAAAAAAACAGTATATGAATTTGTGTGTGTGTGAAGCTCACTCTTCTGGTGAAAGTTTCTGTGCATACTGTTTAAATGTTTAATGTATCAAATTTAGCGCTACTTGTAGCTATTGAAATTGTAATAATAAATTAGACAATTAAAAGTTTGTTCAATTGGTTCAATGTTTTTATTTCTAACCACATTTCATGCAGTTATAAATCTTATTGAAGCTGCATAAAATTAGTCAGTCTACTGATTCAACACTTAGCTCACCATAATTTACTTAGAAATAAGGGATGATTGTACACAAACATAAGTGGTTTTAAACAATTTTGTTTTTAACAATTAAAACTGAAGTATTTCTTCCAAATGTTTGTGTTTATTTCTGGTCCAAATTTAACTGTTTCTAATGTACCGCTTAAATCAATGAGGATGAAACTGATGAATTATAACAAACTAATAAAGTTTCAATGGAATAAACCATACTGTAATTAAATCGTTTTGATTATGTCTACATTTCCTACACTATAGTAATTAGAAGACACTGATTAATTGAAGTTTGCTTAATGATACTTAGGATTTTCCTCTTCGAGGACTATTCACTAAACTCATAGGAGTATTACAGACGTTTTTTTATCATACCTTCATTTCCAAGTGCGACATACAGGTTCATAAAAATTCTCATTGAGTCATATAGAATAAAAAGCATTCAACAAAAAGTCACTCTTTTCGTCCTGTACTGTCAACTTGTGCAATCGCATATATATATATATATATATATATATTAATAAGGTGCTCACTAGCGACTGGGTCTATTCAGGCAGTTAACCTAGGGTTCTAGTGGGAAGCCGTGACCAGTAGGGTACAGCAGGTCGAAGATGAGGCAGTAAATCATCGAAGAAGACATGGCGAAGTGGTCGCGCTATGTCGTGAATTGGCAGAAGTTAGAATTAATGGGCTGGGCATTGGATTGGGTCCGAGTGGCTTAATGGTCTACAAGCTCGTCTTCTAACCAGAAGGACCTGGGTTCGAACCCCGGCGGGTGCGTACTGATGAAGAGTCCCAGACTAGAAGGAAATAGCTATCCAGTATTCCCAGGTTATCCAGTGGTTCTCTAACTGATGTCAGCTCATGATGTAATCCTCCATATATATAAAAATTTTAGATAGTAAATTGCGTAATGTAGAGGGCATAAATGAATTAGAAACTAAAATAAGACTAAATAAACAAGTTGGATGATGAAGTAATCTAATTGGCGGGGTTGAATATAGCTCAGCTAAAATTAAGGTTGAACAAAAGTCACGTTGTGCTTCGGTGGCACGCCAGTAGAGTGCTAGCTGACCACTGATGTGGTCCGGGGTTTGATCCCCGCCCGACCGACGCACTCCTTTACTTCTCTAAGTCAGTAATAAGAATGGTAAAGAGTGAAGGTTGGTTGAGTGTGAGGCTAGCAACCCCATCCTGTAAAAATAATCCCAATTGCCTTCGAAACTTCAAGCCTCTAGCTTGGAGCCCTATTTTCCACTGAGAACGTTAAGGAATAAAAAAGTCAAGTTACCAACAGTGGTATTAAGTGCTAGAGATTAAATAAGCAGTAAAGGATAAAATATTATACAATTAAGAAGCAAACAAGCAAGGAGAAGATGAGAAAAATCTACGTATTCGGTGTTAAGATAGTTCAGGTTCATTGTAGATTTAAAGACTGAACAAGCTTCTTTTATATGCAGAGTTCAGGTTTTAATATGTGGATCGCCATTGCTTCTGGGGCTGGAAGAAGTTTGATTCGTACTTTTTTAGCAAGATTCCCGAGTGTTCTGTAGATAACTTTGAAGTCAGTTTGTGGGTTTGCTTGGTGCTCTGATTCGATCAGGTGTTCCAGAATGAAGCTTCGTGCGGGGGGGACCTTTTTTCTCCTTTTTGAAACTACGAGGGTAAGTGTCCGATGATACGATTGGATAGCAGACGCTGGGTGGGGCCGAAATACCTAGCTTCACACGAGCAGGTGAACTGGTAGGTGCACACTGATAAGGCCAACAGTGGTAGGGTTAGACGGAGTTCAGTCACGAAGAAGGTTTTCTTCACTGAGGTCGGCAGGCGGTTTCTTTGCATTTATGCCGATGAGTCTCCACTGAATTGTAGATTTACAACTGCTGTTAACTTAACTTTTGTTCAGTCTTAATTTTAGCTGAGCTATACTCAACTGCGTCATTTAGATTACGCCACCCAAAGTGCTTATTTAATCTTATTTGAGTTCATAACTCATTTATGCCCTCCACATTACGTAATTTGCTATCTGAAATTTACACTTCTAATGACAAGTCTTTGCGTCGTTGGCATAGCGGTTAGGACGCTCGCCGACCATGCGCATGGTCCGGGCTTCGATCACCGGCCGACGCACTCCTTTACCTTGCTAAGCCAGAAATAATGCTGGTAAAGAGGAAAGGTTGGGCATGAGGCTAGCAACCCCATCCTGTAAAATAAAACACTGCTACAGATAGTTCGAGCCACTAGTTTGAAGACCCATGTTGCACTGGGGAACGTGAAGGAAAAATAAAAGACAAATCTTTGGAAATATTCCTTATTTATATTATTTTTTACTTTTGATTACAGCTTGATGCCACACTGTATTTTGGTACAAGTATGGAATTTTCAGCATGGATATCGGTAGCCCGAATTTTGCAGGCCGACCATAGATATCAGGTGTGTGTCGTCGGCAGGGTATTGAACCTCGGACCATGTGCATGGTCGGCGAGAGTCCTAACCA